CACATATATATATATATATATATATATATATATATATATATATATGTACACATTAAGATTTTTTTTTAAAGAAACTATTACCTTTATTCAGCGAGGATGCTTGAAGTTTATCAAAAGTGATAGTAAAGACATTTATAATGTTACAAAAGGTTTCTATTTCAAATAAATGCTGCTCTTTTGAACTTTCTATTCATGAAAGAATCCTGACAAAAATATTATCACACTTTTTTACAATTTTACTTAAGAATATTTTATTAAACTATATTTCATTAAACCAAATGAAATCCAAAAGTAAAAAAGTGCGTAAAATTAATTAGACAGGCTTTTTGATTAATAAAAATGTATTTAACCATTAAAACAGAGTATAGAAAAATGAAAATGGAAAAAACTGAATTTGGAAATAAAACGGATTTCATAGTGCCCTATAATTATAATTAATTTTTTTGTGGTAATAGTTTCCACAGAAATATTAAGCAGCACAACTACTAGTAGTAAGCAACTGTTTTCAACACTGATAATAAGAAATGTTTCTTAAGCACCAAATCAGCATACTGACAATTATTTCTGAAGGATCATGTGACCTTGAAGACAGGAGTAATGGCTGTTGGAAAATCAGCTTTGCATCACAGAAATAAATTTCATTTTAAAATATATTAAAATAGAACACTTTTTTATAGTAATATTTTATATTACTTTTTTTTACTGTATTTTGATCAAACAAATCAATTAACTTATTTTAAAAACAGACCCCATCTTTAGTGAAATAATTTACATAATTTAATATATATATTAGGGGCGTAACGGTACACGTATTCGTGTCTTTTGGTTCAGATACCGAACAAACACGGCATTGTTTTAACCACTGCACGAGCAGAACTTCATTGGAAACTTCCAGTTATATATATTGTTACTTTTGGTAAGAGACAAAGTCTCATCTTTCAAATTATGTCCTTTTTTTCAGGAAAGTCAAACAATAAATGCCGTTTTGATGCTCTTTGATGTGGCAACAGATCACTTTATAAACGCCTCACTTCAAACGGCAGCGCGGTCATCCCTTCCTCTTTACTACTAGATTTAACGCGAAATAAACATGAATGAACATCTCACACCTCATGTAATAGCTCAACCAGTGTTTCAGCCGCAGAAAGAAGTCAGTTAAACAGCTTGTAAACAAAATGTCACGTAGCATTTCATTTACCTCAGGAAGTCATCAGTGTCCACAGCTTGTTAGTTCGCTATAAATGAAGTCTAGAGAAAAGCATTTGGCGAAATATTAAGACATTATAATCATTATATTTTACTTTACCTGTTAGTGATGTCTTAATTATTTAATGTTTAAATAAATCTGTTATGAAACGAGTTATGAGAGGCAGTGTAAATTAATATATTTCAACAACAAATAGAATTTTTATAATTTAGAAGTTAATTTAAAAACTGCATTATGTGCAATTTACATGCTTGCATACATTTTTTTTTTTAAGTTGAGAAATAAATAGTATTTAATTTTAAGTTTGGGCTCTGTTGTTAACTGTAACCTTATAGTAGACCTAATGTAAAAGGGCTCACTGTGGTTTAGAGCATAAGCTGAGGTAGATTTTTATCCCTAAGAAAAATGTTATTATAACTGAATTTTGCAATTTGTTCAGTAAACCACTGTTTAATAATAAAAAAAAAAAAGGTTTAGTTTTTCCCCCTGCTATACCGAAACTACCGAACCGTGACGTCAAAACCGAGGTATGTACCGATATATATATATATATATAATTGTACATGTAAATTGACGATGCCAACCCTGAAACAACATACAGAACTACCAAATTTTGCTATAAGTTTGATTGCATCATATAATAATTGCTGTTAATAGTGTTCATCGTCTGTTTGATTACGTCTTTAATTGATTTTTCCGTACATTTCTGCCATATGTACATTGACTGACAGTCACCACTGATAAGCTACCACTAAATATTGTAGAAACTTAATTTGCTGTAAAGTTGCTTTGCAACGATTTGTATCGTGAAAAGCGCTAACAAATAAACTTGAATTGAATTGAATTGAATATAAATTCATAAATATTATTATTAAAAAGTGATTTTCTCCCCATCTCATGAATGTGGTAAAAGCATGTACTGCTAGGGATTCTTTCAAAACATCAACAAACTCTACAGGGACCAAGTAAGGCTCCTGTGGGACCTCTTGTTTTTCAAAGTGCAGCTCAGTGTTCTATAAAAACACATCGAAGTTCAGCAAGATCAAGATCTTTGCATTCTGCCCCACTGAACAGAAGTGCTGCCAAACAAGTCAAATGCTGATGCCTATCACAGTTGGACAAACCATCACACTCAAAAGCTGCACATCTAGCATGAGGGTCTCATATTAAAGGATAAAGGATACACTACTGTAAGGTTAATGAGTGCTTATTACCAATTTGAAACTTTAAGCGAGAAACACTGGAACAGTGAATCTCCTATTTGTAGCATGTGAGAGTGAACTATGCGAAAATTATTTGGTATCACTGGCTTCAGCTGCTCCAACAAATCAAGTTCAGATACCATTAGCAGGAACTTACTAAACCAGGTGCCATGGTAGAGCAGAGAGGAAGCGGAAGGCCGATGCAAATCAGAGGTCTCTGGGCACAATGTGGGGTAGAAAGTCCTGAGGTGACTGGCCTCAGATAATGGAAGTCAAAAATTTCATTTCACATCCTGTCAGAGCCAAAACCCAACCCTTTACACAACACAGAGAGAGTAATGACAGTGGAATGATCACGTCATTGACAACAACTCTTCATCCAAAAACTAGAGTGTATGTTCAGGCATATGTCACCTGTGAGCATAACTAGCACCATGGAGATAAACAAATAGAAATTTCACAGAGACAATCACACC